CACCTCGCCCCCCAGTATGTTTTTGTATTTTAGAGGTATGATGACGACGGGGTTTCACCCAATGTTCAGCCCAGGATGGTCTCGATCTCCTGACCTCTCTGATCCAGCCCGTCTCGGGCCTCCCAAGTGCTTGGGGATATTACAGGCTTTGGAGCCACGCGGCGGCCCGGGCCAGCACCAGGACATGATTTCTATTCTCCTCTGGGGTATATACTCAGTAATGGGATTTGCTGGGTTGAAGTGTAGCTTCTCTGTTTTCAGCTACTTGAGGAATCGCCATACTGCTTTGCACAATGGTTGAATGAATTACACTCCCACCAACAGTGTGTAAGTGTTCCCTTTCCTCTGCAACCTCACTAGCATCTGTTATTTTTTTACTTTCTTTCTTTTTTTATTTTTTAATTTTTTTTGAGATGGAGGCTCACACTGTCGTCCAGACTGGAGTGCAGTGGTGCGATCTTGGCTCACTGCAAGCTCTGCCTCTCAGGTTCACGCCATTCTCTTGCCTCAGCCTCCCGAGTAGCTGGGACTACAGGCCCCCGTCACCATGCCCGGCTAATTTTTTGTATTTTTAGTAGAGACGGGGTTTCACCATGTTAGCCAGGATGGTCTTGATCCCCTGACCTCGTGATCCACCCGCCTCAGCCTCCCAAAGTGCTGGGATTACAGGTGTGGGCCACTGCGCCCAGCCAAGTTTTTGACTTTATAATAGCCATTCCTGGCGGGGCACAGTGGCTCACACCTGGAATCCCAGAACTTTGGGAGGCCAAGGCAGGTGGATCACCTGAGGTCAGGAGTTCGAGACCAGTCTGACCAACATGGACTAAGTTCTGGCCAACATGAATGGAACCTTGTCCTCTAAAAATAAAAAAAAAAAAAATAAATGCCTTGGCATGGTGGCGCATGCCTGTTAATCCAGCTACTTCAGGAGCTGGGAATGAGATCACCTCGAACCCAGGAGGGCGGCAGGTTGTGGCAAGGGAGCCGAGATTTGTGCCCTGCTCAACTCCAGTTGGGTGAAGAAACAAGACTCTGTCTAAAAAGATAATAATAATAATATAATAGCCACTCTTGGTATGAGATGATATTCTCACTGTAGTTTTGATTTGCATTTCTCTAATGATCAAGTGATATTGAGCGTTTTTTTCATATGCTTATTGTCCACCATGTATGATCTCTTGTTACAGAAAGTGTCTTATTTGTCGTCTTTTGCCTCACTCAAAGGAAATGGGCAAGCGATTTTCATAATTGAAGGTGCAAAACAATCTTTATTAATATATATGAATAAATAAAATTTATTAACTGCATTGTCTACAAATTTTATGACATCATTTGCTACGTAAATTTGTGTAACAGTTCATGTTACGTCACCATCTCCCCTCCCCTAGGACATCACAACGTAACAACTTTAGCCTATTAAAAAGCCTTTGGGAATCAGACACAGTAAAGACCTAAATTTAATGGAGATTTAACCCTGTGTGTCTCACGATGTGATAAGTTAGTTCCTTTTTCAAAAGTACTATTGATAGCTACTTCTTGTGAGAACATCATTTGGAAAAACAGTAACCTTAGAGAAAACAATCTTTTTGGAGACTTTTCCAAAACGGCAGCCAGGCAGCAACGTTAAAAAAAAAATAATCCAGCAAAGACACAATGAAAAAAAAAAACCAACAGACAGAAACCAAGCCGCTGAAAGCGCAAACGTAATAATTAACACCTCAAAACCTTTAGGGTGTCATGTAAGCACGAATATGAATAGTTCAAACCCCTTCATTCATAGAAAAACAATTCCTACCTAGAGTATCCAGTAGTAGACGATAATGCAATGATAGAGAGAGACAGATAGATGGCCCAGATATTTGCTAGGATAATCTAACTTCTGTCTTCTAGAACCAACCAGATAAAAAGGAAAATGAAGACTGGGAAGCGTTATTTTTTAAGATCCAATGTCCTATTTACATGTCACTTAATAGTAAACAAACTAAGCAAGAAGTGGGTGGTTAGGCAGGCAATTTTAAATTTTACTTGTTGTGAAGGAAGTAATGTTTCTAATAGAATTTATTTTAAAAGTATTCTTTGTTCTGGGTATATAATGAAGATGAATTAAGATTTTAAGTTATGTTAATGATGTGTCGAATGGCTTTTCTCTGTGTGTTGAATTACATGATTTATTTCTTAAAGTTCAATTAAGAAAAATGGCTAAGAAGACAAGGTTCCACACAATGTTGCCCAGGCTGGTCTGAAACTTCAATGATCTCCGTACCCTCAAGCCCTCAGTCCTCCAAAATGCTGGCATTACAGGTGGTGAGGTATTACACCTGGCCCCAGATTTCATTTTTTAAAAAATCTCATCCAAGCAAAAATGATTAGAGAATTTTAATGTAATTTCATTTTGCCCATTTACCAAAGACAAAATCCCAGCATTTCCTTACCAGGTGATTTTTAAATTAGGACTAATCTTGTACAATTAACATCAAAATTATAATTGCCAGGATTTCTCAGCAGTTTTTTTCCAATCATTATTTTCTTTTAACT